GTGAGGATCCTGAGGAGTCTGAGGATCCTGACGAATGTGAGGAAAATGAGGAATGTGAAGAATGTGAGGATCCTGAGGAGTGTGCGGAGTATGAGGAATGTCAGGAATATGAAGAATGTGAAAATCTGTGGAGTGTGACGAATGTGAGGATCGTGGGAAATGTGAGTATCCTGAGGAATGTTAGTATCCGGGGAAATGTGAGGAATACGAGTCATATGATGAATGTGAGGAATATGAGGAATGTGAGGATCCTGAGGAGTCTGAGGGTCCTGAGGAATGTGAGGAATATGAGGAATGTGAGGAATATGGGGAATGTGAGGATCCTGAGGAGTGTGAGGAATGTGAGGATCGTGGCAAATCTGAAGAATGTGAGGATCCTGGGAAACGCGAGGATGCTGACAAATATGGGGGTCCTGACAAATGTGAGGACCCTGAGGAGTGTGGGTAATGTGACGATCGTGGCAAATGTGAGGATCGTGACGAATGTGAGGATCCTGAGGAATGTGAGGAATGTGAGGATCCTGAGGAATGTGAGGAATGTGAGGATCCTGAGGAATGTGAGGAATGTGAGCATCGTGGCAAATGATCGTCGGAAATGTGACGGTCCTAAGGAGTGTGAGGAATATGAGGATCCTGGGAAATGTGAGGAATGTGGGGAATGTGAGGATCCTGAGGATTTTGAAGAGTGTGAGGAATGTGAGGAATATGAAGAATGTGAGGAATGTGAGGAGTGTGAGGATCCTGAGGAATGTGAGGGTCCTGAGAAATGTGAGGAATGTGAGGATCGTGGCAAATGTGAAGAATGTGAGGATCCTGGGAAACGCGAGGATGCTGACAAATATGGGGTCCTGACAAATGTGACGATCCTGAGGAATGTGAGGATCCTGAGGAGTGTGAGGAATGTGAGGATCGTTGCAAATGTGAGGATCCTGGGAAATGCGAGGATGCTGACGGATGCGGAATGTGAAGAATGTGAGGATCCTGAGGAATCTGAGGATCTGAGGAATGTGGGGAATGTGAAGAATGTGAGGATCGTGAGCAGTGTGAGGAATATGAGGATCCTGAGGAATGTGAGGATCCTGACGAATGTGAGGATCCTGCTAACATTCCTCAGGATACTCACATTTCCCACGATCCTCACATTCGTCACACTCCACAGATTTTCACATTCTTCATATTCCTGACATTCCTCATACTCCGCACACTCCTCGGGATCCTCACATTCTTCACATTCCTCATTTTCCTCACATTCGTCAGGATCCTCAGACTCCTCAGGATCCTCACATTCCTCACATTCGTCAGGATCCTCACATTTCTCAGGATCCTCACATTTCCCAGGTTCCTCACATTCCTCAGGATCCCCAGACTCCTCAGGATCCTCACATTCTTCATAATCCTCACATTCCTCATATTCCTCATATTCCTCACATTTCTCAGGATCCTCAGACTCCTCTGGATCCTCTTCTTCAAATATTCATATCTTATGGCTATTCATTAGGTTTTTCTAAGTGAATACTAGAATTTCGAAATGTTGATGAAAAATCCACATCGTACTATATATAGATATATGCACATATATATAAATGAAAAGCCATGGAAAAAGGCAGTTAATTCACCATGCATAGTTATATTTCGAAAATAAAAGTTTATTTACATGACTAGGCGACATTCGAGATCGTCTATCTGACGTAATGTATCTGCTCAACGAAAAAGTTTTCGGAATGGCTATTGACACCACTAAGAGGTGTCAGCAGTGGGTATTGACACGTCCAAATAGTATGTAGACTGTGCGAGAAGTGTATTTCATATAATGAGAAGAATGCACTTCAGATATACGTGAACTTCGGTGAAAGTCATTGGATGAAACTTTATTAACTCGGTATGCTACGTTGGATAAATATTCATGTAGACTAGTGACATCATTGAATATCTGTGTAACGGCTTCTTGGCCGAAGAAATCACTTTATCAAATAAGTTCTTTTAGTATTTCAGCATGATTTTTAAAGTTTTTTTCAATGAATTTTACCGAAGTTCACTTATACCTGAAGTGCATTCATGTGATTATATGAGATACACTTCTCGCTCAGTCTACATACTAAAACTCAGAGGTGTCAATAATGGCTATTGACACCTCCAGGGCTCAGTGTGAATACCGAAGCTGAACCATTCTTGAATGGATTACAGTTGCGCCGAATATTAAAGAACAGCCTTTTTACTAGTAAAGATGTTCAATTTAAAACAAGAAATCTTTACGATAAACAGATTACGGCGTATCTAATGGGTCTATAACCAGTGCTTTTTGAGAATTTCCAGTGGGCTTACACAGGATCTCCAGAAATTATTTTTGATAAATATTCAGATTTTAGCTAAACACGAGGCTTTCATAGACAGTCAACTGCGACGCTTTCAATTACTACATAACTGAGGTTTTCAGAAGACTTTTAAAAGGCTCTCAGAAAATCTCTTTGGATTTATTGATGTTTAAAACTAAAAGAAACGATTTATATACGATATCGAATATGCTAAGTTTATGAACTTTGTTTGCACTTGGGCGGCTTTCTGAAGGAAACATTGTATAAACAGGTTTAATGTAAGAAACTTTTAGAAAGCCGCCCAAGTACAAACAAAGTTCATAAACTTAGCATATTCGATATCATATATGAGTGAAGAGCGTGCCAATTGTACTGTTTGACCTGGGACAGAAAAATGCTCATAAGTCGAGTTCTACTCGACCGATTTTGATAATCTTTTTTTTATTTTACTGCTCTAATGGTAACCATTCACTTCTGAAAAAATCAGGGTTCCAGCTATTTCAGTTTCCGAGAAATCATAGTAACAATGTTAAATACCTAGCTTTCCAACGCCATTTGGCAGAAGAAAATCAATTTTTTTAATTACATTGCTCTTTTTCCAATTGGTTTTGCAGCTAGACTTAGTTTAAGCAGTTTTATTAAAAATCCTTAGACGTTATTATACCCAAAGCGACAAAAGTCATTACAGAGGTGAGCAAACGCTTCCGTTGTTACATACCAGAGAATAACCAAAGAAAGAACAAAAAAAAACAAAGGACATAAAAGAAGAAAAGAGAAGAGCATAGAGATGAGTAAAAAAAAAACAACAACAACAACAACAACAAAGAAACAAACAGTTTTTTGAAGATGTTGACACAGAGTAGCTCTTAACATAATGACCAAAGGAACAGCAGCAACAATGAGCGGAACTAGAGCGTGTGTGGCACTGACGGAGGATGAAGTAGACAACATGAAAGCAAGCTAGGGAGGTAGCAAACACTAACTATGATATTAGAGTGGAAAAACAGTCTTTACTACCCACACAATCAAAAACGCTTTGTACATTTAATGTATTCAACAACAGCACTATAAACAAATCCCATGTCATCAGTGCTAAGTGGACATCGCAGGAGTAGGAGATCCATATTTATAGTGCCAAACTGCTGTAGTGTATGGAAGAGGATTTGTCGTGAGTTCGCATACAAAACACAGTGGAGAAAATAATGCTTTAGAGTTTCACGCATTCCACATGTGCATAAGTCTATTTCATCGATGGGTAGAAGCCCTTTTGCCTTCAGACAATGTTTCAGAGGAGGAAGTTCTATTCGACATCTTGTGTAAGCTACTTCAAGTTGCCGCAGTACATTCATACGAAAACAGCTTCGCAAATCATATGTCAATTGTAATGAGTAAAAGTGATCACTAAGCTTTTTCTTGAAAGTTGTTAGTTTTGCTGTCACAGTAATCTCATCGGGGATCTCGTGCCATTCTATAGGTAATTTAGCAAAAAACGTGTTACTAAGTAATTTGGTAGTCAAATTCCTAACTGTGTACCTTCGTCGATTTCCATCACGTAGTTTATAATTAGAATTAGAAATTGAGAGTTGTATATGTTCCCGTAAGTAAGGAGCTCTAAGGCCACGTGTTATACGAAAGAACAAAATTAACCGCATTTGTAAGAAGTGTACTCGAATCGGCAGCCAATGTAAGTCGTTTAGCAAGAGCGAAGTAGATGTTCTACTGATTGCACCAGAGACTACTCGAGCTGCTCTCTTTTGTATACCATCAAGCTTTAGCAAATTATAATCGGTGGTCAAAGAATACAATGTAGCACCATAATTTAGAGTAGATAAGACATAGCTTTTATAAATTATATCAAGCGCTTGTCTGTTCAACGACCATTTAGTCAATGTCATCAATCCTATCAAACTATTAACTTTAGCTACAAGCCTATCAATATGTTTAGTCCAAGTCATATCCTTTGACAACAACAAGCCTAAATGGACATTGTAGAACTCGTCACGAGCTTTCAGAATATGTCATTAATTTTAGCTCTAAACAGCGTTTTATGAATGGGAAACTATCAACAATAGATGTTAAGACACTTTTCATTTTTGTGTAGAGCGAGATTATAATCATTGGCTTTCAATTCCAAGAAATTTGATTGGAACAAATTTAATCGAATATGAAAGAGAGAGGAGGGGGAAACAATTTGATAAGTAAAAGACGTTTGTTTCATAAACTTCGTTAATACAAAAATTTGAACAAAGTATTAAAAAAAACGATATTTACACTAAATGTAGAGCGAGATTTTAAATTTTGTTATTGCTATAACTCAATGAAAACTAAACCGTTTGCAACAAAAATTTGATCATTTTTTTATCTCATAGATGAGAGTAATATCCCAAAAACTCAAGCAAAAATCTTCCTCCGTTCCAAAGAAAATTCAGTTTTACTAAGAAAGTGTAGAGCGAGATTTTTAAGTAGTGATGTTAAGAAGGTGTAGAGCGGCATTAAAATCATTGACATTTCGTTTAACGAAATCTGATTTGAGAAAATTTGGTTGAATATCAGAGAGAACTAGGGGGAAAATAATTTGAGAAATAAAAGAGGTTTGTTTCATAAACTTCGTTAATATAAAAATTTTACACAAGTTAAAAAAAATGACGGTCACGCTGTCTGTAGAACGGCATTTTAGCTGGTTATATTGTGAATCTCCACCATATCACAGGGAAGTGTAGGGAAAACAGTATTTTCATACACATTCGACATAGCTCTATCAAATACAACACTTAGTTTTTTCCTATCGGTAAATTTATTTTTATCGATTTTTTTTCATGAACGGTACAATGGGCGCGCTCTTCACTCATATAAATCGTTTCTTTTAGTTTTAAACCTCAATAAATCCAAAAAGATTTTCTGAGAGCCTTTTAAACTAACAAGGAACTGACTTAGTTCTGCTGACCGTTCCTCAGTACCTAGAAGGAACATAGCATCAGTTACCCTGCGAACTGGAGGAATCGAGACAATACCGATAGTATAAGAAGAAATATTTCCTGACAAAAGAAAAAAAAGCCAGGGAATCAGCAAACTCATCAGTCAGTTCTACTGACAGTTCCTCAGTTATCATTGACTACCTAGAAGGAACCTAACATCAGTTCCCAGCGCAACTGGCGGAATTGAGGTGATATAGATAGCACAGTAAAAAATATTCCCTGGTAAAAGAAAAACATGTTCCTACTGCGCACCTAGAAGGAACCGTCAACAGAACTGAGTCAATGCCCTCATTCCCCGACTTCTTTTCGTTTTTCTAGGAAACCGGCACCTATCATGCTGGTGTCAATAGCCATTGCTGACACCTCATGGTGGTGTCAATAGACTCACCCAAAATGTTTTCAGATAGAACACTCGTAGCAGAACAACAAAACCATTTTCGTGCCAATGCGGCAATGTTTTGGTAACGATCTTTATTACTTTTTCACCACTGTAAAGGGCACGAAGTTCTGGCAATTGTTGGTTCGTTTAGATATCTCGACAATTCATTTCCAACTTTGGCACCGTACTTTGCGTTTAAATTATTACCTTCATAATTAACCCACAAATCTTGACTATCATCCTGTGAAACTTCTGGAGACGAAAAATATATCCCGAAAAAAAGAAAGTATCCAGTCAAGCACAATTATATTCTAAATCAGAATATAATTGGTTGACGGAATACTTTCTAAAAAACCTAATGTATTTCAATTCGAAGCTCGTTAAATTCTGCATCTTTTTCTATCATGACCATTCTGAGTCTGATTTTGTTTACAGCACTACACTTCACAAACGCTTCCCCAACAAGTCAAAACCTCTGGACGAGTTCAGTATCTTGCCCATAAGTCTAGCAAACTTACAATTTGAGAAAATGTATTAGAGCTCATTCGATATCCCTCTCAATTCTACATTTTTCTATGTATAAACCATTCCGGGTTTGAGTGTGCTGACAAAAGTAGAATCATTTTTGTCTGCCACTACGTGGAAAATCAAGATACCTGTCAAGTATTTGTACAATATAAAAGACTAATATTAAAAGTCAATAAAATATTTTTCTTGTTGTAAGATAGAAAAATATAAAATATAAAGAAGGGAAAATAAGAAGAAAATTGTTCTTAGCGTTTGCTCTACCACACTTCTTTTGGCTTTCCGTTATCTGGTTTTTCTTGAGACGAACTGTGTATTATATATGCATACATGTTTATTGTCTACATAAAGGAATGAGAAGAAATAAAGAGCAGTACAGAAAAAGCTTGAATTTCTGCTACTAAATATTTAAATATTAACACAAATTCAATAACAATTCCTTTATATTGGGTCTATAGACTATGTTAAAAAGAAAAATATTAAACGACTAATATTAAAAATGCATGAAATATTTTAAAAAGGACAATGAGGAACTGAACTTCTTCGTCTACATGTAGGTAGTCATTTTATAGGTGAACGATAAAAGGAACATGAAAGACAATTAAATGAAACATATAGTTTATGAGAAGAAACGGTTTTATTATCAAGCTGCCATTATTCTTCCAATCAACATTCGTTATTGAATCAAGCATATAGTTTATTAGTAGAGCGGATTAAAGAATCTATTTCATTCTATTGTTTGTCCTTTTCATCTGATGCGATGAATTGTTCTGTGCGCCAGAAAAATTATCTTAAAAGAAATCGTGCGACAAAGCTAATGCGACTAAATGTCCGTGCGACGAAAAGATTGGCGACTAAATGTCCCCTGCGATGATGAATTTCTATGAAATCTTGCTGAAACGAAATGAGTAGAGAATAATTCTTGCCAAAATTAAAAGTAAGTTGTAAGAATCTGATAAAGGATTCTTACCACTTTCTTGTTGAAGTTCTTGTGTTACTTATTAGATTCTCACTTGAGTCTTATCTGATTCTGCGCAACTTTCGTGCCACTTCTTATATAAGAATGTGCTAAGAATCTTATTCGATTCTTATCAGAAATTTCAAAAGAAAGGATCTAAGGCTTTAGAACTTTTTAGAACTTCTAGATTTATCGTGAATTTTTAGAATTTTAAGCAACTTTAGACCTTTTAGACTGAAATTTAGTACTTACGAGACGATTTGTCAGCCGGTCGAGTAAAGCAGTCACGAGCAAAAAATTAACCTATGGTTTTTATTTTATATTCAGATTCTAGAATGAAATCTGGGATTATGAAAAAATTCTTTTCTTCTTCTGACTTATTTTGACGGAGTTGTAGAATTTACGAAATGAGCCCCATCGGGAAAGTTCAAAAAAGTACTATCCTCAGTATTTTTTCTATAACTCTGTAAATTTTTGTCCGTTTTGTTTGAGCAATATTTCAATTGAAAGCCCATCAGAAACTGAACCAAATGACATGTTTTTCGACCTTTTATCGTTGAAACAAAATATTTTGGAGAACAAACAAGCAAAAAACATGGGTTCTAAAGCGGAAGTTTTCGAATCGAACCAATTTTTCGGCACCTTGTGCCATTTGAGCAAAAGAAGATGTTTTACAACTTTTTACGACACTTTCTTGACGAACTGCATTCCGTTTGAACGATCAAAGATCGAAAAACATGTCATTTGGTTCAGCTTTTGATGGGCTTTCAATTAAAATATTGCTCGAATAAAACGGACAAAAACTTCCAGTTTTATAGAAAAAATACTGAAGATACTACTTTTTTGAACTTTCCCGATGGGGATCATTTCGTAAATTCTACAACTCCGTCAAAATAAGTCAGAAGAAGAAAAAAATTTTTTCATAATCCCAAATTTGATTCTAGAATCCGAATATAAAATAAAAATCATAGGTTAACTTTTGCATCGGGGAAAAAGAGACACTCCACTCAGATACATGGAATTTTAATTAATAATTCGCTTAGTTGTAAAATACGGAAGGGGTGCAAATACCGCCGTCTGTGAAAAGAAAAGACAAAAGAAACCAACCATGTGCGATCGTTATCAAAAATCATACCGGCTCGGACGTCGCCCGGGTGAACAAGGTTCGCGTGCTCTGTCGAAGAACCAGGGCAGAGTCGAAAAATCGGTTACTGGAACAAACACAACGACAATCACAACAAACACGGCAACAGCAACCGCTACATCACCATCAACAGCGCCAATGGAAACTACAAGAAAAGCACCAACTACAACAACTGCATCAACAGCAACAACAGCTATCAAATGTGACACACAGACATTGAAGACGACGAAGGACATTTTTACCGTTGGAACTTGGAATGTTCAAACGTTATGGGCAACTGGGAAGCTCGAACTGTTAAGACATGAAATGAAGTGATACAGATACGATGTCATCGGCATCTCAGAAGTACGCTGGACAGGAAAAGGAGAAACATCAAACGGTGACTTCATCTGGTCAGGAGAAGACAATAAGCATATTAGAGGTGTTAGCATGCTACTCAGTATGAGGGCGAAGCGGTCGCTACTGAGCTACAACCCAATCAGTTCACGGATCATAACAGCAAGATTCAACGCAACACCGTTCAAAATCACAATCATTTACGTGTACGCACCAGCGTCCGACCCATCAGAAGAGGACATGGAGGCTTTCTATGACAGCATAGAGAGCGCATTAGCAGTCACACCCAAAAAAGATATGGTTATCCTAACAGGAGACTGGAACGTAAAGGTGGGAAGTGATAATACAGGTTGGGAGTCTGTAATGGGCAAACACGGATACGACACAAGAAATGAACGAGGAGAACGACTACTAGAGTTCGTAGCAGAACACGATCTGTTGATTTACAACACAAGATTTCAACAAAAACCACACCGCAAATGGACATGGGCATCACCCGACGGCGTCCACAAAAACATTATCGCCCTAGTGATCGCCCAAAGAAGGTGGAAAACATACATCATCAACTGCAGGACATTTCAAAGTGCGGATATCAGCTCAGATCACTCTCTAGTCCTGTGCAATATCAAGCTAAAGCTGAAAAAACTATGTACAAAGTCACAACATACCCACACCTAGACGTTAGCGAACTCAAAGAGCCGCGCATAAGACAAGCGAGACTAGGTGACAACCTCAAGAGCATCCAGTCAGATTGCAACTTGGACGAACATGCAGCACAAATCGAAACTGCAATCAAACAGGCGCTGGAGGCAACTATCACTCCCAGAAGAAAAGCCAAAAAGCCTTGGATATCTGACCAAATCTTGAGCCTAGCGGGCGTAAAGAGAAAAATGAAACAGATAAAGCATGCGTCCACAGAAAAGGCAACAAGGTACAGAGACCTTTGTAATCAATTGATTACAAAGGTCTCTGTACTACTATCCGTACCAAATGGTCGTGCAGTCGGTTGCTTTTTGAATAACTCCTCGCGGGAGATAGATAATGAAGTGCGGTTTTCAGCATTAGAAAGAAGACATTTGAAGACATCTTTTCATAAGCGGAATCGAGTTTTCAAAAAATTTCTCAAGTCGGTTTTCTAAGAGATCTTTGGAAAACCAGGTCGTGTGTGCGAATTTTCCAATAGGATTGTATTGATTTTTTTTCATGAGCTGATAGCCCGGGATGTTCTCTTGAAAATGGAAGCCAGGCGAGACCTTGATTTTCCGTGGTTCGGGCGTTGTATCTGATTTCCTACGAGTCCCAGGACTGACACCCGGTGACTATTGGTAGCCATAAAGGCGGATGGACTATGGGTAATCCTATTAACAGAAATATGCTTTTTCGATCTTTTCGATCTTATAATCACGTTTAGCAGACAACATTAATGATATCCTGAAGTTTTGAGCTTGTTCTGATGTATTTTGAGCGAATAATGAATTTTCTAATATTAGGTGAAAAGAGCCTGAAAACCCTAATTTTCGTAAAACTCCCTTTTCGCTAGATTTTTAAAACTTTTTCTAAAATCCAATATTGCCACGAGACTCAGCATGGTCGATTACCCATAGTCCATCCGCCTTTAAGGCTACCAATAGTCACCGGGTGTCAGTCCTGGGACTCGTAGGAAATCAGATACAACGCCCGAACCACGGAAAATCAAGGTCTCGCCTGGCTTCCATTTTCAAGAGAACATCCCGGGCTATCAGCTCATGAAAAAAAATCAATACAATCCTATTGGAAAATTCGCACACACGACCTGGTTTTCCAAAGATCTCTTAGAAAACCGACTTGAGAAATTTTTTGAAAACTCGATTCCGCTTATGAAAAGATGTCTTCAAATGTCTTCTTTCTAATGCTGAAAACCGCACTTCATTATCTATCTCCCGCGAGGAGTTATTCAAAAAGCAACCGACTGCACGACCATTTGGTACGGATAGTAATGGTGCTGTTTTACAATAATAATGGATCAATTGATTGGCAAGATCTATTTCATCATCCGTTGCTGGTGCATGTAATAATTTAATGGCTATTGAGTAAATAACAAAATGAGAAGCATATAATAGTGGTAAATGACTAACACAAATTGAAACACCAACATATAATACGAATAATCTTGAATTTTTTGCTTTCCATTGATCTACAGCAGTAACTGAATCAAGATAATTAACTTTCATATTATGTGGTAAACGTATTTGCTTTAATTCATCATCAATATCTTGTACATTTTGTTTATTAATAATTTTACATCACCGTTTGATTAATGTAGACACATGACCAAGACATACTAAGTGCATGTAATCAAACACAATTTGTGATGGATAGGAAAATATTTCTAATAAAGCTGATAAACCTTTAATACCATCAACAGCAACTTCTCGACCACCACTTGATTGTTTAACAGCTTCCTGAGCAGCTTTTACATATCCATCATGTGTACGTGCTGTATAATCATTACCATTGTATGGATATAAAATCATTTTATATGTTGCATTCCATTCACCTAAACAAACAAAGAGCCTGATTTTATAAACGGTTACACACTACAAAAACAAAAGTTCTAGCTCGAAAAAGATCATTCAGAATATCAGCCAAAAATTTCAGAAAAATGAGTTATACTTTTTGTACGGCAACAACTACATGCAATTAATTGTATTACAAAATAATGCTTTTGCTGGTAAATCTGATACAAAATACTGCGTTAATAAAATAATATTGAATTCATGTTCATTAATAAATTTGTTCCATTATTCATCAAATATTTTAATTCTTTCACACTTTCTTCTAAAAATATATTAACATTTGGCTTCTTTCGTGATGACCATAATGCCACGATAATGATATTCATTTGATATTCGCGAATTGGCGGTGGTAATTCCACAATTGATGCAAACATGGCCATAATGATTGCTTTGATGTTTTAATTAACGGTGCTCCGTCAGAATGAAGAATTATTGTGATGGAATTTCTTTGTTGTGTACTTGCCTCTTGATAACGAGAGCCATAACAAATGTCACTTTTTGGAAATAATTCCTGATGACTTAATACATTAATATTACGACGTACAATTGATTGGATCTGTGAACGAACATCGAGATTTACAATTTCGACGATTTCGTTACTTTATAATGTTTTGCCGTATAATAAACAGGTATCATTCATACATTTTTTAATACCATATTTTGTTTTAATACATTGTTGATAACAGGTTGAACATAAAAATGTTGTTCTGGATACACAAGTTTTACCTAATACTTTCAATATACCTTTCCATGTTGTTGGCATTAGATTAGGTTGCGGTAATATTGATTTTATGGTTTTTAATAATTGAATAACATTTTCTTTATCAAGATTGGCATTTGTATAAAAATCACTTAATAATTTTATAGCAGCTTTAACTGTTTACTCAAAAAGTCTTGATTTTGACCTACTTTTTAACCTCTCTCCCGTCTCCCGGGTTAAACATACAGCTTTGGGGCTGGACGGACAGGCCCCATAAAGTTGTGAAAAATTTAACTTGGACACCTCTGCTATTGTTTTCAAACCATCAGGTGTAGTCTCAGTTCTTTGATAAACAGTTCAAGGGCTGAATTAAATCTTTCGTGCTTGAAACTGTACTTTGAAGAACTCAAAACTAATTTGTTTTGTTCAGTTTCTTTCTCTCGCTCGTTTGGTACACAACTCAAAATTTTAAAAAAGAGAGCAGAGAAAGAATTACCAATAAAATTAAAAACCCTGATTTTTGAGGAATTTTGGATAGGTCTTTTCGTACAAACTCATTTTCATAACTCGGTCATCTTGAGTTCCGTAGACCTAAAAATATGGGTTTATATGTAGATTTGCACGCCCAATCGAATGAAATTAGCAAAGATAAAATTAAATTTTGACTGTGTTATAGGTTTGTTGCGCCGCCGACTCTCTGTTAAATGTTAAATGCGTTTTTATGGTAGTTTTATTTTTTAAAATGTATGATGATAAATGCTTCTCCTTTAAATTTTAGCTGGCAGAAAGGAAAGGAAAAGAACAAGAACAAGTTAATCATATGAAAAGTATGAACTTTTGTCAGGCTCAGAGATACCGGCTCATCTATATATAACAAATCTTAGAATTTATTCTATATTAACTTAGCATAAAATTTGGAGAGCGGAAATTCAGAAAAAAAAATT